TAATAATAATAATAATAATAATAATTAATAATAATAATAATAATAATAATAATAATAATAATAATAATAATAATAATAATAATAATAATAATAATAATAATAATAATAATAATAATAATAATAATAATTTTCTAAAAACACAAACAATCAGCACCAGACAGAAATTATTTAGTTTCCAACTTCTTGTAAGGATTGATGCATTCAAATACATTACCAGAGTTTAGACCTAGTAAGTTTAGACAATATTATAGCGCCCCCTCTAAGTCTACCAAAGTATTCGATTGGATTTAAATTTATTTTTTAAAGTTTCATATAACATACATTGATCGACTTAATTTGCATATTTTATTGTATATATAAGAATCAAGAGAAGTTTAAAAAATAAGAAAATCAAGAAAAAAGGTGAAATATCAAAAAGGCTGTAATGCAGAATGTCTATAATTCAAATGTATTGATGAATAAAAGCGGTGGCTGTTATACCACAGAAGAGAGAAAAAAAAAAGTATTCGATAAAGTGTAGCATTCGCTGGTGTATATAACCATTACTCCAAAGCCATTATTATAATATTTCCTTTCGAAATCACTCATCTTTTAGCGATATGCATTATGTAAGTATATAAAATTATACACAATATATATTGCGACTTTTTTGAAAAATCATGCACTTGCATAGGCCTACATACAATACATCACCACCCAAAGGTAAAGGTAGGAGAATTAACCATAACTCGCTGCTTCACTGAAATGTGCTGAATTGCATATGGGCGGTGTCCGTGAATAGACCTTTTCAGAGTGTCAATCAAACTTAACAACTGACTAATCAGAACAGCGCTAGGAATGCGCGCGCGTCTTACAAACACACGTGTTGTCCCACAAACGCACGTGTTCGCGTGTTCGCGTATGTTTTAACACTGCTGTCTTTGTGGGAGCTAAGCAACAATATCCAAGGGGCGGAGCTTAGCGGAAAGGTCCATTCCTAACCACCTTAAGAGGCGCTTATAGTAGCCACATCTTGACATCATTCAACGACGTGTACACTGGACCTCCATTTTAAGTCCTTATCCGAGAAAAATTGGTTCTACCAAACGAGCTCGGGGCGAGGACCGGCTCCAACAAGCGCTGATATTATTACCGTATTAATCCTGTACATTAGCGAAGTCCCTGCCTTACCGCTTATCCACTCGACACCACCATCCATCACACACAAAATATTTCAAAATGTTAGTGCAATATTAAAATTAATCATATCATAAAACACACATGCATTGATTTCTCAATTTATTAACGCTCCAGGTTATAACATTTTATACAATCTCGTACTTACAAGTCCGACGCGGAGCAAAGCAATTAGAACAAGTGAGTTATGGACATCCTATATGGAAGAATTTCTAAGTGTTACAACACATAATCTATCAATGTTGCTTTCTCTGTCTTAGCTGTCATTTCCAGATTAGATTTTAGTCGAGCTTATTCTATATCGATCAGTAATTTGTCTAAATACCTACGGGTAGAACAAATCGTTGTGTACTTATTACAGTTTTTAGAAACGATTATTATAGGAATTATCGTTTTTCAATAATTTACGTAACCCGTCAAGCTAATGCGTATTAATTCCTATAAAACGAGAATCGTAGATCGGAATTTGTTACACTTGAGTTGTTCTTGGTGTGGTAGTTTACATTATTTCTTGAAACATACTTCGATTAAGTCGTCATTTCGTGAGTAATTCTGTATGTCATTTTCCAGTTGTGAATTCGTTCGTTAAGTTGTAAACTTAAGTTAAAAAAAAAACACAACACGTGTGTTTGTTCTTCAGCAATCTCAAATTCCTGAGTTCATTAGCTTCGTGTCGCAGTTTCTCCGTGAATTCGATTCAAACAGCTTAATCATTGTTTCATTTTATATTATTTGCTTTTACAGTTAATATCATCATCACAATCTATACCAAATTCAAATTCAAAATGTCTTTATTGGCAACCAAAGTAAGCATTGATTGAATTATACAGAAATGCAAGTCAAAAGCAGAAATTGGAAAAACAGTAAAAAATTCAATAAAATAATTTATGAATTAAAAAGATTAAACAATAAGGAATTAACATTAGGCAATCACAATAAATAAAAATTTACAGAATCAATTATAATTTATATACATTAAAATGAAATTACATCATTCATTAAAACAGGCAAATTTACACAAACAAGAAAATTACAAAAATACCTATAAATATATATATAGGCCTATATATATATATATATATATATATGTATATATATATATATATATATATATACAACACCTGTCTCTTATACACATCTAGATGTGTATAAGAGACAGTATATATTCCAAGTGTGGGATTACGGTTCTACTACGTAGATTTCTTCACAACAGTCCAGCTTTTGCGCTAGCAGACGAAGCACGTATACAATGAAGCTCGCCGTAATTGTGTTGATCATAACGCTTTCTGGGATAGGCATACCGTGCCTTGCTTCGTCCTCCAAGAACAAAACTCGGCCACCTCCATCGAAAGAACTCAGGTAATGATTATCTTACTTACAGTACTAAATTGAATCGCAGGAAACTATTATTGTGTAGTGTAGTCTGTCTCTTATACACATCTAGATGTGTATAAGAGACAGCCTCTCTGTGTTATATAGGCTTATTGATATAATTATATTCAAAGATAAGTCAAAATACAGGAAACTACTTTAAAAAAAAATGAATAGCTGATTTAAAAGAATTAAATAAATTATTAGCTCCCATCAAGAGACAGGTAGAAAACAATTACTTGACATTTTACTACAACAATCCTTAAATTGGCTAGTAATATATTTAAGGATTTTTGTAGTAAAATGTTTTTAGATTGGTGAAAACTTTTTTTTTTCGATCTGTTTCTTGGTGGAAGCTAATTCATTTAATCCTTTTGAATGAGCTATTCAAAATATTATTTCA